GCCTAAATTTGTATTAAGAAAACTACATAGCCGTAGGCCTCAACTTGTTTCCAATCCATTAATCTGTTAGAAATCAAGTTTTCATTTCTTAATTGTTCCTTCTGATTTTTTAATACAATATTTTTAATTTATTTTATTTTTATTATCTCTGATTATTATACTTCTAACTATCTTAAGACAAATTTTATCTTCTATCTTTCTGAAAAATTTAGATGATTCGAATATCTTGATGAAATTGAGATAAAAACAAATCAATTTGTTTTCGGGATTTATCATGTTGTTTTAACAGGTTTGCTTAATCTTAAAGTGGACAAATCTATTTAATAGAAATTGTCGTTAAAATAACGTTGATTACTGATTTTGAAATGTTGATTTTGTTTGATAATAAAATCTAAAATAAACAAGAATAATTTGAATCTGTGCAATGGCTGTGTAATGGCACATGAGACTTTTGCAAACTACTTTGCAGGCTCACGTAGGAATCCAGACATGGATTAGTGCATTGTAATTTGTCTTTTGCAAATGTATATAAACCCTTGTACGTGCTTGTAAACATGGAACAATTTAAAAATTAATGTGATTCTTTTTATATTATGTTATTATGGGGAATATTATTATAGTAAGATTTCGCTCATAAAAATGCATGTAAGTATTAATCATGATACTATTCATGATATTATTGTTATCGTATTATTACCATATAAATTTTGGTCTTTTAATATGGAATATTAAATATGACATGAATAAAGAGTATCTTTGGTATTTATAATTATTATTAAATATTATAGTAATTATTGATTGTGTTTTGAAAACACTATAAATTTTATTATAATACTAATAATTTCTTTTGAGAAATTTTGTAAATACAAACAGATTCGGAGTTTAATCCAAGGCTTTTGATTATTGGGTTTCCAAAAGTAAAATCAAATGATTAGTTCCTTTTGATTATTGTATTAGCAAAAGTAAATTCAAAGGATTAGCTTCTTTTGATTATTGGGTTGCCGATATTAAAATCAAAGGATTAGTTTCCTTTGGTTACTGGGTGAGGAAATTAAAATCAAAAGATTAGTTCATTTTGATTACTAGGTTGCAAAAAATTAAAATCAAAGGATTAGTTCCTTTTGATTATTGGGTTTGGAAAATTAAAATATAAATGATCAATTTCTTTTGATTATTGGGTTGCTAAAATCAAATGATTAATTCCTTTTATTTTTGTTTGTTAAATAGAATATATAAAATTGAAAAAAGGAAATAAAACATTGTATTTATTTTACCTTAAAATCATGTGTTGATTCTAACTTTGTAAAGAAAATAAATTGGTGAATTTATTTTATTGAAAATCTTTAATGATTATAACTTTGTAAGTAAAATAAATCGTTGAATTTATTTTCTTGAGAATTGTGGATAATTATATTTTATTAAAAGGAAATATATTAAATATATTTTATTGGGAATATTGTTTGATTTTATAATGTAAAAAGGAAAAAATATTGAATTTATTTTTCCTGTAAATCTTATATGAATATGTTTTATAAAAGAAAATAAATCGTTTAATTTATTTCCCTGTTTTGTAAAAAAAACGTTGAATTTTATTTTCCTGTTTTATAAAACAAAATAAATATTTGAAATTAATTTGTTGAATTTATTTTCCTAGAAATCTTATATGATTTTCTTTCGTAAAATAAAATAAATCGTTGAATTTTATATTTCCTGTTTTGTAAAAGAAAATAAATTTATTTTACTGAAAATCTTATATGATTTTGTTTTGTAAAAGGAAAAGAATTGTAGAATCTGTTTCTTGGAAATCTCGATATGTTTTTAAAGTAAGATCGTGAAAACAAATTTTATAAAGTTTAGAAGTTTAAATTAAAATTTTGGGGAAAAATTGAAGAGTTTAGTTTACATTTTCCCCAAAAAATTAGGGTCTAACTAAAATTTTTGAAACTTTGAGAGATTTAATAAGAATTTTTTAAATTACGTGAATGCTTTAATTAAGAACATTCAAAAAAATTAAAGTTTAATATGAATTTCTAAAACTTCTTTTGGGGATAAATTAAATTTTTAAAAAGATTTAAAGGCCTAAATTATAATTTTTCAAATTTTGAGGATCGTGGCCCCTACTAGTTCTTACTATGTTTCCTCTCTGCATATCCTAATATTTTTTTGTTCTTAACCTATAATATTAAAAAAAAATTCTTTTACTACCAAAATTGTTTGATTTATGGTTAAACCTAAGATTTGAACGGCCACATTTTAAAGATTTTGATATCTTTCATTTTTGGTATTCGAAATATAACTTTTCTATTATTTTCTTTAAAAAAAAACCTACGATTTCAATTGAAATTTATCCATAACAACTATGTTTAGACATGAGTGTATCTAATCAATATATATAAAAGATCATAATCTCGAACTAATAAAAGTTGTTTTGAAATTTGAACATCCACATCTTAAAGATTTTTCTTCTTCTAATATTTGATATTTAAAAAAAATTAAAGGGTAATCTATGTCAAATACCACTTATCTTTATGCTCGGGATCGAAAATGCCACTGACGTTTCAATTTTGGCAATTTTAGCACGGACGTTTATGTTTCACTTCAATTTTGCCACTCCGCCGTTAATCCGTGAACGACACGATGACATGGCGTTCGAATGCCGTGACGCTGATGACATGGACGGTTTATTAAAGTTTTTTAGTCCATGTAGGATCGTTGTTGGCATTTCATTGGTATTTTGTCTTATATAAATACCTAATTTAACCCTAAATTACCCTATTTGCTTACTTTCTCCTCTTATTTTCAGCAGCAGAAGAAATAGGAAGAAGGAAGAAGAAAGAAGTTTGGCGGTGGAATAAACAGAATAATGGAGCAAGCCCTTGCATATCCAGTATGTGGTGTTGATATCCGACTCAACTAAGGACATCATGGTCCAATGATAATCCCAGGAGAAGATTTTTTGGTTGTAAAAACTATGGGAGTTTGGTTGTACCCGGTTGTCGATTTTTCTGCTGGTTTAACCCTCCTATGGCTCCATGAGCACGCGTTGTTTTTGTTGGATTGTTGAAGAAAATCAAAGCAACTGAAATTAGGAGGAGGAATGAGAGAATTATTTGGGGTGTTATTTTTATTTTACGGTTTGTATTGGGTTGATACGTAAAACAAATGGTGATGGTGAAAAACTTTTAGGGTGGAATTTGTGATGATAGTACTTTTTGGATTGTAATGGGATGAAAAATTGAGGGTTAAAATTTTAGGATTAACGGGCTTGTGCTTGTTAAAAATGATGGTGTTTGTTAGATGGTTTTGTAAAATTAGCTGCTGATCTTTGCTTGTTAAAAAACTTGATGCTTTGATGCATATAATTTTTTTATCTTTAAAATGTCAAACATGAATGATAAACAAAACAAATTTCATTCAATAAGAGTTGTGATTGATAATCAACACATGTGTACAAGAACATAAAGTGCACATAAGCACTTAAGTATCAACCTATAAAACCTAGCAAAATATGAAACAAAATATCAATGTGAATAAACACATGTGTTCAAAAGACATAGTTCATAAACTTAAGTATTCAATCCAAAATATCAACCCAAATATCTAAGTTCTGAAATCATCCAAATAAAATTGGAGAATATCAACCTATAACATCCTTGGTCGTTTTGCAAAAACAGTTTGACATTCTTCTTGGGAAGTCTGGGTTATAGTGCTTAACTGGCTTAATTGTTGGCTGGCAGTCACATATTCTTGTGAGTGTGGCATCCATCTAACTGACATTACATTTTCTGTTTGCTGGTTGGTTGGATAAAATGTGTGGCCTGGATTAGGAATGAAGTCAAATGGAGGCTCAGCTTGTGATGATGATGGTGGTTATGATGATGCAGCTTGTGATGTTGGTTCTTGTGACATTGCAGCCTTTGATGATGGTGTAATCCTTGTTGTAGTTCTTCTCCTAACCTGTAGTCATAAGTGTACCAAAATCTCAAAACATAATTGTAATTGTGATATAAGGTTAAAAAATAATAAGAAATATATACATGTAGTTTTCTCCGGATGTTCCTTGATTCAACCCTTATTTCGTTGGTTTCCCTTGTTGAGTTGAAATTAGGTCGCCTAGGTGGCATGTTGCCTCCATCTATCCCTTTACAGGTCCTTTGGTTATGTCCAGGTTGACCACACATCATCAGACCTTTCTTGCTCATTGTAGCATGAGAATTTGTAGGCTTATTTGCTTCCTTTCTCCTCTTTTTTTTAGGTCTTCCTCGTGGTCTTCTAATTGTTGGTGGTATAACTGGTTCACAAGTGGTGTCAGTTAGCCACTGATTGGGGCCTCTCATGGGTTGAATGAAGTGACTATAAAGTTCTCGTTGAGTGGATACAAAATAAGAGTCGTGAACATAAGCTTCAGGCCTTTGATTATTTAACACCATTACAGAAACAAAATGTATGCATGGGATTCCTATGAATTAAAGAATTAAAAGTGGTTAAATTAATAAAGTAAATGAGAAAAATATTGTCACATAAGACACTTGATACAAACCAGTGAGATCCCACTTCCTACATGAGCATGAATGATTTTCTAAATCAATAGCATGCTAGTTAGATGGTCCAGCAGACACTTGATATTTTTGACCTCCTGCGTGTGTAGGCCAACACCTACACATAAAAATGAATCAAGAATAAATAACTTAATTGGAAACAAACTTAACAGTACCTACACATTAGTAAGAATAAATAGTTTAACAATACCTAGTGGACTGTTGAATTGCAAGTTCAATTTTCTTTTGGATTCTTGGACACAAACTTCCAGTGTACTTGTTTGCAACTTCCTTATTCTTGGCAATATTTTCCATTATCTTGGTTCTAATCATCTCCATTAAAGTCAAAACTTGTTTATCACGAGCTTCCAGAATCATCTTGTAACAGAACCAAAAAATGACTTAGAATCATATTATAATATAATCATATTTAAATAATTTTATTCATTTTACCTTGTTAAATCACTCAGACAAATTGCTGAGAAGCATGTCTGATTTACTCCTTGGGGAGAAATGAGATTTAGACCATTGGGCAGGGTCTTTTGCATTCAACCAATCAAAGGATGGTTTTGATAATGCTTTCAGTTCATCAATTGCATCTTCAAACTCTTTTTTGTAGGTAGCTCTAGCTGCCTTCCACAATGCATCCTTTAAGTTCTTTCCTTTGAATTGAGCATTATTCTTAAAGTTGGAGTACAAGTGTCTCACACAAGTCCTATGCTCAGCATTAGGTAAAACATACATCACTGCCTCAACCAGTCCCTAAAAAACAAGACACAAAGTATTAGAAAAATTGTTCATAATAGAAAGGAATAATTAATTAAAGGGTAAATCAAAATTACCTTCTGCTTGTCTGACAAAAATGTGATATTATGGGAGGTTTTAATCTCCAAATCAATTTCCAACAGTAACAGAAACCAAGTCCAAGATGATTCATTTTCACTCTCGACAACAACATAAGCAATTGGATAGATGTTTTCATTACCATCAATACCAATAACAGCCAGAAGAGTACCTCTATAATAGCCCTTAAGGTGACAACCATCAATGCTAATTATAGGTCTACAACCTTTAAAACCTTATTTGCATGCTTGTAAACATATGTACATTCTTCAAACACCCTATTATCCAATTTTAGAATGGTTGTGCTTCCAGGAATAGAAGACCTCATTTCTCCAAGATAATCATATATCTTTGAGTATTGACCATTGTGACTCCCAATGACCATATCAAGAGCTAAGTGCTTAGCTCTCAAGCATTTACTCAATGGCATTTTATACACATGATCTTCTAATACAACCTGTCTTAAAGTTGTAATTGGGTACTGAGGATTAGCCCTAAATTTTTCAAGATTTGTTTTAGCCATCCACTTATAGGTTGCATTTTTATTTTTAAAACCCATCAAACAATTATGATCTCTTACATAAGACTTAATCTGCTATGAGGTGTTTGTTTCATCTTTTCGATCAACCCTTGATGCCCAAATATACCACGAACACCCTTCATTGCAAACAACATGCACCCTAACACTGTAAGTTCTTTTGAATATGATATCAACCATATTCTTAATCCCATACTGCCTGACAGCCTCTTTGAACTTCAACTTATCACCAAAAATCATTCCAACTTTAAAATATGGGTTTTCCATATCAGTTTCATCATTAAACTCAGGGCATCTATGTTTTCCTCGACCATCAAAGTCAGACTCAGAATAAGATTCATTTTCAGTATGCAATGACTCTACTCCATCGGTTTCATTTTCATCATTCAAAGATGCATTAATATTTCCCTCATCTATATTGTTTAACCCATTAAAATCTCTTTCAAAATCTACACCCACATATACCTCATGTATAGACCCCTCTTCCTCACTCGCATCATTTTCACTGTATTCAAAACCACTTATAGAAGAATTAAAGTCATCAGCAACATATTATGTATCTTCTTCAGAGTTTAACTCGGTTATGAATGTTTCATAAGTTTCATGATTTTCATGCATTTCAGTTATAACAATTTCATGAGTTTCAGTTGCATTGTGATATCTGGTTTCATTGGTTTTGTTCGAGAAGTTTGCTTCATTTTCTTCTAAGTACAAATGAATGTGCCTATTTCTAGGCATATCTTCTAACATGCTAATGATATCACAATCTTTTCTTAAGGGCTTAACAGTAAATTTATGCCCAAAATGTTTCCAAAACAAATGCCACAAACCAGAATAACCTAACTCTTCCATAATATCATACATTTCAGCATTGACATACTGTCCACATGGCACATATCAATAAAACTTACCTCATTTCCAGTGTATTTAAAACAATATGAATTTACCATAAAGCCACCATGGTGCATAACAATTGTGAAATATTCAGATTCTCTACCTGTCAAAATGCATTAAAAATCAGTCAGCATTAAAAATTAACTTTACAATACTGGTGGTCCCCTTACACTACTTTTACAACACTGATAGCAAACAAGTAGACAAAGCCAGTAGACGGACCATCATTAACTTGTAAAAAACTAACATTTGGGACCACCATTGATGACAACTATAGAACAATTAATCATACATGCAGCAAATTTGATGCAACAACCACCGACCATAAAAGGTTTAAAAATACCCAACATCCAGCAATATACATTTATATGGATAAACTATTCATTCAATACAGTCATATGCATTGGCATAAAAATCATGCGGGAAAGCAACAACAATCATATTTTATACTCTTTTGGAATACAACAAATAGTTACATTGATATGCACCGCCATAAAACACTGTCACTTCTTTTGGAATACAACAACTATGCATTCAATACAGTCATATATGCACTGGAATAAAAATCATGCGGGAAATCAACAACAATCATATTTTAGACTCTTTTGAAATACAAAAGCAGAAATAAAACCATATTTAAGTTACATAAATAACGAAGAAAACAACAAATAGTTAGAGATAGAGTGTTTTCATTAAAAAACCCTAAAATTATTTCGAAAAAATCTTTAAAAAATGTCAGTGGCTTTTCAAATGCCATTACCGTATTTCATGTTCGCCATTCCTTTCGATAGCGAGAATCGTTTCTCCATTTTGCTTTTGCAGTGACAGATGAAATGAAGGAAATCTTTTTCAGTGATAGAGAATTTGTAGACTCTTTTGGAATACAAATGAACAAAATGAACGGAAACTTCTGGTTCATTCATCTGAGGGGTTGTATTTGGGAAACCAACGCAAAGTTTTAATTTTGTTTTTGGAATACTAATGAATTGTTTAATGGGTTTCGGGAATAATGAAACATAAAACTATAAAACTACACCGTTTTAGGAATACAAATAGTCATTGGCAAAACTACGTCGTTTTACTAAACTGTCCATGTCATCGCCGTCACGGCATTCGAATGCCATGTCATCGTGCCGTTAACGGATTAACGACGGAGTGGCAAAATTGAAACGTCAGTGGCATTTTCGATCCCGAGCATAAAGATGAGTGGTATTTGACATAGATTACCCAAAATTAAATCCTACGATTTATATTGAAGTTTATATCTCACTGTTTTATTTAAATACAATAATATTTTCTTTTTCGCCTTTTAATATGATTTTTACAATTTTATTTTCTTTTTCGCCTTTTAATCTGATTTTTTTATTTGTTACCACTATAGTTTAGTAATTAGTAGCGGTTAAGTAATAATTTTTTAAAACTACTAGTATATGATCTATTAATCGACAATTTTGGATCAAATATTACAGAGGTAAGAGCGACTCTCCCAATCCAGTTTGCTCCAATCGCAAATACTAGGATTCGAACCCTAATGGTTTTTTAGAAAATCTAATATTCATCCTACTAAATCAACTAGTTGTCGGTAACAATTAATTAATAGTTAGTTACTAGTAAACTATAAAATAATAAATATATATCATTATATTGAACAAGTTTGATAAATACAAAATTTCTATTCTTCTTTACTCTTCCAGTCATATTATGGTATTAAAGGCGTATACACTCATTCTTGTCCGGGACTTTGTTCTAAGTTATATATATATTGTTTTTAGAAAATATATATGGTATAATATATAGTATATTATTTATTATATAGTTTTTAAAATCATGTTTAATATATATAATTTTTGAAATCATGCAGGTTTTGTATATTATATAATTTTTAAAATATATAGTTTTAAAATATATATAGTAAGGGTTCCCAATAACATGCTCACCTGACCTAGTGAGCAAGCTGTCGAAGCCCAAGAGGAATCCTAATAAGCTTGACCCGGTAGATTAGGGTTCTAACATTTAGTAAGGGTGCCCCATCAGCCTTGGTCGTTCGATCTGGCCTTTTCATCAAACAACTAAAAACACATCAATGGTCACTATCCAACAGCGCATGGAGGCCACGTGCTAGTAAGGTCACCAACCGACCAGGATTTTCGGAGCGAAACATAAGCAAAAGGGAAAATACTTCCCTGATTTTTCAATTAACTTAGTGACGAAGTACGAACGTGCAAAATCCCCAACAAATCAGGAATGCACCATCATGTTATAACCTGAAACAACCCCATCACGGGGCTATATATACACAAGAAAAGCTATCGAAAAGGATAAGAAAAAACATAGCACAACAAAAACAAAGAAAATGCATAATAACCATAACAAGGAAACAAATATACAAAGAAAAAAAAGTTCAAAATCAAAGGAAAAAATCAAAGCCCAAAGATTTGTTTCATCGAAGGTCGTCGGGAATGCGTAGAAGCCTCGTAGGGAAAGAAAAAACACCGAAAGTTGAAAGGCTCACCAGAAAAGGTAAACTCAAAACTTCGAGTTTAGATCTACGTCGGTGGGGTATTTTTGGGATAGTCGAGCCTCAGTTTCATGTTCACGGTGTTAGAAGGAGTATTTTGGGGGTAATTTAGGTTTTTCGGTCACCGGTGGCAGCGGATAGAGTTCCGGTCGGGGTGACAGGGCTTCGACGTTGGGTAACCGGATCTAGGTCGATGAGGAGAGAAGGGAGATAGATTTTGAAAGGGAAGATGAGAGATTTGAGTGAAATGGTTAAAATGAAATAAAATGAGGCATTTTTGGGCATTTATATACCAGGGATTGGAGTGCAATTAGAACTTTCTTAAATTATGCACGCAGTCCCTGTACTTTCGATGTTTAATTCATTATATTCCCTTGTTTCAATTTAACCCTTAAAGTTTATTTCTTTTCAATTTAATCATTTTTATTATTATTATATTTAACATTAATTTTATTCTTTAAAGGGGATGAAAATAATTTTCAAAGTTTGTCAAAGGAAAACAATTCAGATGGAAGTTTTAATTTTAAATTTAAATTTTAAATTTTGCAATTAAGATAACCAAAAAATCAAATTGGTACCGAAAGGGCAGTAAAAGGGTGTTAATCCTTCCTTGATTGTAATCGACTCCCGAATCTGACAAATATTTGGTAAGTTGTATATTAGATAACGGTAAGTTATGGTATCCGATCAACCAAATTAAAATGATTGATGGCGAATCCATCACACGAAATTAAGTTGAAACCCGATTCCGTGACCACCCAAAGGATAATTACGACAGTTTGGCGACTCCATTAGGGACAGGTGAGAGAGTCAAGCCAAAGACGATTCCCATTTGTCTTCCTAAGTGAAAGTTGTAAGTTTAGATTATAATTTATCTTTTCGATCCTTTTTATATACCTTTGATTATTATTTTTCAAATAAATAGTTGGACTAATGGGTTTCTAATGATTTTAGGGCTTTTTTTAAAAAAATCAGCTCAGGCTCTATTCTCGAGCTCCAAACATTTGGGAAAATTGGAAAAATGAAAAGAAATCTAGGTTTTGCCAGTGATATGGTGATATCATACACCTGTATGAACCTCTAATTGAGCCTTAGTGTAATTTTGGAATATGAGATATAGCTTTACAATCAACTAAGAATAAATGGTGCCCACAATTGAATAATACATTACCCTGTTACATTATGAGGGAATCAGAATGGACTGGGTATTCATCAAATACATCAAAAGTCAGCCTTTCAAGAATGGGTTGGCAAAGGTTGCAGGGGTTGATAAAAAGTGGGTAAATGATCGAATTCAACACAAAGGTAAAGGAGAATGAATTTCTTGGACTCACATCAAGTAATTAATGAAAAATCATCCAATAGATGGAAGGTGATAGATCTTTTCACATTGGTATCTACGGCCTGATTATCTTCCACAAAACTTTGGGATACATTGAGGCAGCTATGGTGGAATTATTCGAACAACTACCTAAGCGAGTGAACCCTGCACCAGTAATCCTAGTTGAGACCTTTCGTTAATTAAACCACTGTATAAGGGTTGGTGGATGACATTTTATAAGATGTACACAATTACTTCAGTTTGGATTCATAGTCATTTTTGGAAAACTAATGGGATTTCCTACCATCGATTCAACATGACATAATCACCTTTGGAGGAATTCCTTACAAAAAAATGGTGAGAAGGCGTTCCAAAGGACAAATAAGCAAAGGTATTTACGCATCTACAGAACAAATACATTGTGTGAAGAGCCGCTTGACTAGCTCATAGTCACATTCTTTATTGGTATGGAGAATAAGGAGTAGTAATCTTACTTGGGTTGTGGGGAGGAGTTGATTATTCACTGCTTTTAACACTTCGGTAGTATGGGGCACGACAGTTTGTTCCAGTCACACATGAGATATCTGAATCCGAGTTTGCATATCATGAGGATAATTACAATAAGAAAGTCAAAGAGTTGCTAAATCATGGAAGAAGATATTTCGTACATATGTTGTGGCTGCCAAAGACATGCTTACTTCAAACAATATAGAATGGAGGAAGTTGAGGAAGAATGACATTGTTCTCATACTAGATCATGAAGACACCTAGACCGTGGAAGAGCATCTCAAACCAGTTGGCTCTGAGATGGAGATAGCAAAGAGGGAATTCAAAGCTCAAAAAAAGAGGAACTGAAATAAAGATTGAAAGAGTATGAAGCTGAAAAGTTCTAGTAGAAGTTGGACGCTGATACTCAAAAGGACCAAGTAGACAGATTGGAAAAGGAACAAAAGAAAGTCTGTTTTGAGTTGGAATATTTGAGAAAATGGTATCAAGAACAGGTTCATAAAAAAATCAGCTTGAAAAGATCTTCTGAGTATTAGAGAGATGAAGCCACCAACTTGAAGAGGAAATTTAAGGCGCAAGATGACAGGGAAGTGCTGAAAAATCAACTAAAGGCTTCTCAAAGATAGTTATCAAAAAGCCACCACTAGAATAAGAAGCTGAAGACTACGTTAAGTGA